TCGTGTTCCCATTGGTAACGAGTTTCAAAGCAGCCAATGAGAGCACGATTTTATATCCGGGACTTGAATTTGCCCCCCCATTAGCTGCGTTCCCAATTTTTAAACTCGATGCCTCCTCTAGTGTTATTTATAATCTCTATGCCCAACACGCTATGGCGTCACGCTAATTTATGCGGCTGATGCCAAAAGCGGGAAAATACAAATGGCTTCCTCAAAGGAAATAGTTCTCCGACATTTTTTGTGTATTCCGATACATAAATAATAAAACAATTATTGAATTCGTGTCTCCCAGGAAATGAGGAATTATTAAGGCCTCGCTTCGTGTTTCTGCCTCAACCTGCGCAAGTAACAGAAACCTCAGCCTTTAATAATAATTCCTCATATATCCTACTCGACCTCATTCAATATTTGTTTATTATTAAGCGCTTTTATGGCATTGTATAATAATAATGATAATAGTAATAATTATTATTATTATTACTAATTTGTGCTGGCCGCTATTACGAAGCTATACACTTTACTTGATATTTTGTGAAAGCAAATAGATTGAAAGCAAATGAACAACTTGTGAAATTTATTTATAGGAAGAAATGGGGGGGGGCGGGGGGGGGCGAATTGAAATCGTACTAATTTGGGGGGTAAATATGAGTAATTAGTAGGAATTGTACTGAAGTGGCTATCGCTTTTCCTGCAATCTCACTGGTCGAAATTGTGCGGCCTGCAGAAGGGGACTATTTACGATCAGAAATTGCGGCCACGATGCTTAGATGGACGAAACTGCGTAGAATGTACCTGAGTATTAATGAGGAAAATTGCTAAATTATATCAAGATATAGTCCGCGGCAAAGTTTTTTATTTATATATTGGTTGAATTTTTAGACTATAGGAGAATGTTGAAGGTCCAAAAAAAATATTAGCTAACTAAAACATAACTAAGAACTATTTGAATTTAAAATTTTGGCCTGGATTCGCCAAAGTTATGTAGAAGTATAGGCCCATTTCCACTCAAGAAAATTTTCCGCGGAATGAAAATTTTGTATAATTTGATTGGCTGACACAAATTTTCCGTCGGAAAAAAATTTTGAAAGTGGATGTTTCAGCAACTCCTTGTCCGCCAGCTCGTTGGTTTTTGTTGTTGCTGACTTTGGCCACGATTCGGGATTCTCCTTCAAAAATTGTGCTCCGTTCCACCATGATTTGTTGTTCACTTATAGTTCCTTTACGGCACACCCTCGCGATGGAATGTCAGCCGGGTTAAACTCTCCTGAACAAAATCTCCACTTCTCCTTCGCCGATAACCGTCTGATCTCGTTGACCCGATTTTGTACATACTGACGCAACCGTTTGTTGTTCTTAATCCAGCACAGAGTAATAAATGAATCCACCCAATAATACACATCGAATTTGAATGCAAGGGACTCTAGAACAGAACGAATAGAGAAAACCAACTTTGCCAACAGGTAAGCTCCCAAGAGTTCCAATCTAGGAATAGATTGTTTTTTTCAGTGGTGCCACTCTTGTTTTAGACGCGATAAGACGCACATCGATTGTTCCGTTTGCATACTTGGACAACAACTCAAGTACACCACAGCTGCTACTTCTCTCTCTGATGCATCACTGAATCCATGGATATCATAACTGAGAAGTTCTCCTGTACCTTCTGAATTGTTTTGGAAATAACTTCGCGGAACATTTATCTCAGATAGTGCACTAACTTCGCCCACCAGGGAAGTCCACCTTTTCAACCATTTTTTCTCAAGGGCCTCGTCCCATTCAATCTTGCTGGAACACAGCACCTGGAACCACATCTTTAGATTCACCGTTATTGGGCTGATCTGTCCGATAGGATCAAATATTTTCACGGACGCTTTCAACATTGATTTTTTTGTAGGTGGCAATGACTTCAGATATTCTATAAGTTGTACATCAAAACTGAAACAAACCTTTTCGATATTCCAGTTAAGACCAAGAATTTTCACTTCTGATGATTTCTCTTGCAATTTCTCAGCTGCTATAAGTTCAGGTGATGTGTCCCCTAATAGATTGATCTTCGACAGTTCACCTTCCGATGATTTGTGTTCTGACGTTTCTTGATTAACATTCTGTTGATCGTAGCAACCGTATTCTCAAACTTATCAATTCGTTCCTTCAAAACTTTCCAATTGGTGCGCCATTTGCGCAGGTTGAATTCGCCTTCGCTCATAAGATAGATAGATAGATAGATAGATAGATAGATAGATAGATAGATAGATAGTTTAATAAAAAATTTACATTGCAGCCAAGGGCTGAATTACGTCAAGTTTACAAAATACGAATTATTATTTAATTACTATTATAATTATTAATTTAAAATTATGCAAATATTTAAAATTTTACTAGGATGATAATAAAAAAGATACCACTAACGTTACGAAGACATTTTCGATGCCACTGCAAATATAAAAGAGTTTTTAGTACAATTAGTATTAAAATGAGGAATGTCAAATTTATGACCATTTCTGAGATCGTGGTGCCAGTTATGTTTCTGTGGGAGGAGGTCATAAAGTTTGTGGTTTGGATCCTTTGTAACATTATCAAACAAGTTTTTGAATAAGAAATTATGGTGTTCTTCTATTGGTTTGATGTTCAAAATTTCTCCTGTTGCAGAGTAGTCCATTCCTGGATTTATTATTGAAATAGCCCTTTTTCCAGTCGAATCAATTCGTTCTTTAAGTATTGTGGAAGGGAGTGATAAAAGGCTGGTACTGCGTAATCCATTACAGATCTAACGCAAGACGTATAGAATAACACAAGATCTCTAACTGGTAACCTAGCTCTTTTTAATTGAACCAGATAATATAGTCTCTTACTGGCTTTTTTGACGACCTCTTTTATTATGGGCATGCCAAGTTAGTTTGTTACTTATTTTTACTCCCAATAATTTAGCACTTTCCACTATTTCGACTTCTTTACCATTAAGTATGACTTGATCTAGGACAACTGGGTCCTTACTAAAGGAAATTCTCAATTCTTTACATTTGTCTGGATGTAGCTTTAATCTATTTTCTTCTGACCATTGCTTAATATGATCTGCTATGTTTTGGGCTGTACTAACATTGCCTTTGGGAAGAATTTCCGATGCTGTGGTATAATCCACGAACTTCCACAGGTATGGGGAATTAATATTCAGGTCTTGGATCATTAAAATAAATAACCATGGACCTGGCTTTGTACCTTGCGGTACACCAGACGGAACAAGGCACCACTCAGAAAAACAGCTATTGGCCAATTTGACTCTCTGCGTGCTATGAGAAAGCAAATCTATTATCCAGTTAATTATACTTCTAGGTATGTTCAAATTACCCAGTTTCTTTACAAGAATTGTATGGTCGATAAAATCGAATGCCTTGCGATAATCAAACAATATTGTCCTTATTGTTGCCCCATTCCCGTCAGTGTTTATAAACCAGTGATGCAGCATACTAATTAATGCCATAGTGGTTGACGAGTTTGGAATCGCTCCATATTGACTAGCATCGATTATGTCTAGAATTGCCGGTTTAACATAATACGTTTGGCTTTCTCGTAAACGCCAAAAGCTGCTTCTTCAGGTGTAGCTCCTCCTGGGAAATCATCCGCATACAACGAACTAGTTAGGAGCTTCGAGACCTCAGGCTCGGAGGAGGCATACAAGGATAAATGATGTTGAATTGTTCCATTGAGGATCGCAGGGCTAGAAGTCAAGCCAAAAACTAATCGACGGAAACGATACTGAACCATATTTGGGGTCTCATCTTCGATATTTTCCCACCAAAGAAATCTTAGCTTATCTCGGTCTGACGTACTCACGGATATTTGATGGAATGCCTTTTCCACGTCTGCAGTGAGGGCTATTGGATGGCTTCGAAATCTAATCAGAACATCAAAAAGATGCGGAGTTAAATTGGGACCTGTCTCGAGACAGTTGTTGATAGAATGTTTACTATCAGTGTCCTTCGCTGATCCATCAAATACGATGCGTAACTTCGTGGTGGCTTTGTCTGATCTCACAACTCCGTGATGAGGCAAGAAGTGAACATCTTTACTATTCTCTTGTTTGTTTGTAGCATTTATTTCAACACGATTAAATTCGCAGCATAGCTGATGTGGTCGTGCATTTACATAGTTATGTGCCTAACCCACCCTGTCAACTTTCCCTGTGGGAGGAAACACGGAGTGCCCGGAGAAAACCCACGACTTTCGGCAGATCGTTGACTTACTCTTTTCACATTAGGACTGGGTTCCAGTCACAATGAGAAGTCCTCATTGAGATACGAACCTGCGGCCTTAGAGGTGAAAGGCAAGTGCGCTAACCACTTCGCCACCGAAGCCCAACTGGGACTCTTTCAATGATACCTGTTCTCTCCTGTTCCTTGAAAATATCGTCATACTGGTTTAATAGACCTTCCTTACTTAAACGGGAGTTTAGATGATGCAATCGAGATACACATAGTCCAAAATTAGAATTTTGCAAAGACTGTTCCTTCTTCCAGGGAAGATCAACTTGATATTTTCCTTCGGTCTTGTCAAATGCAATGTCCTTCAAGAATTCTTTTCTTTGGTGGTCAGATTCAGTGTAATCAACTATGCCAATGGACTCACTGTCCAAAAAACGTGCCAAACTATCAGTTTAATTGGATGGTTACTCATCATTTAATATGGAATAGCTTGGTTGCATTGTTGGAGTATCAGGTTGGATATGACATGGTTATCCCCATTCTTGGTATTTTGTTCTGGGCCCGAAACCAACCAACCAAACTTGCTGCCAACTGCTGCCAGTCCATTACTCTCTCGAATGACATGCCCGGTTATAACATCCCAATAGTAGTCCGATCCAATTAAAACATCAATGTCATCATGACTATTTGTAGCTATTTAATAGTCGGCATGATCCAGCTCTAAAAACGAAGGATAGCTTTCTAGGTTTATTGTTCCAGGTAGTGGCGAACATATGTTACCAAAACTCAGGGCTGCGATATTTATATCTTGTCCATTTCTTTCTTGTAGCGTTAATTGGACCAAATCACAGTCGTTCTTCGAGAAACAGGCATCACAAAAGGTATTGAGGTTTAATGATTATTTCTTGATGGATTTCAACCCAAGCTTTTGTTGTAGACCAGTTGTGACGTACGATCTTTGACTTCCACTATCAATGAGCACTCTGACAGGTAAGACTTCTGAACCTTCATTGGAATATGCATATGTCCTTGCTGTCTGTAACAATACTCTCGTTTGACTTCTTGTCACAGATGTAGTGGTTGTACCAACTATTTGACGATTCATTGACAACAGCTCCAGTCGTGGAATCTTGCCCAGGTTTGTTCTCTGGTGGTAGACTCGATGGGTCTTGTGGTGGTTGACTCGAATTAAATTCACAGATTGACTGATGATGCTTTCCTGAGCATTTGCGGCATCGTCTATTGGAGGTGCATTGGTTTATTCGATGACCCTTTCTCAAACATAAAAAGCAATGTCCTTGTCTCTTCAAAATATTCTTTCGAGCTTGTGGATCTTTAATCTTCTCACACGAGGCAGAAAAGTGTTCTGCATCACAAAACACAAAACACACAACGTATATTGCTCCCATTTTGATATCCTGCGAAAAATGCACCCGTTGTGTGCATTCTCTGTCTTGGCTGCATGAGTACTTGGATCCCTTATCTTCAGATTACTACTCATCTCTCTTACTTGCACTTCACTCTTCAATACATGCAATACTTCTTCGATTTGCCAAACATCTTTCGTTGTAACGCGCGCGATCTGAAGACGAACATCTCATGGTAATTTAAACATAATGATGGGTATGAAAAAGCTCCCGTATTTATCAGACGTCACTCCCAAAGACCCCAGACCGCGAACATTGACCCCAACCTTATCACATATCAGACGAAGCACAACAGGTTTGTTTCCTGAACATGTAGGCAGTTGCAAAAGTTCACCCATATGCATTGATATTATATGCTGTGTATTCCCGAAACGTTCTTCAAGAAGATTCAATGCAACACTATAATTTGCCTCAGTTAATGGCAATCCTTGAATAACTCTAGCAGCCGGACCTTCCAAAAGTCCTTGCAAATAATTAAACTTATCGATTGGTGAAATGTTTGGGTTCTTATTAACTGAACTGTCAGAACGATCCCAAATTGTTTTAAATTTTGTAATTTCGCCATTAAATTTTTGTAGAACCAGCTTTGGTAGCTTTGGGTTCACAGTAAAACTGGATGGGTATGATGGGGCCCCCTCTATTGACTCTACAGAAATACTTGTGGGGTGTTCTTCAGTAGGTAAAGGCAGATTTTGCTCAGAAATACTTTCTTGCTGTTCAGCCATGTCCGTATTTTTTGTGGGGCGTGCATTTATATTGTCTGACAACGAGGGCTGTGACGTAAATGTGTACAAACACTCAATCATACCTCTTATTTCTACAAATTCTCGCTCGTATTGCGTCAGCATCCTCTATTTCTTTCTCAATTTCTTCAACCTCACACAACGACAACATTTCATCATCCATACCTCGTAATAATTTCTCTTTCTCCTCAAGTAAGTTGTCTAAAATCTTCAAACGTGAACGATTCAACGTGGGGTATCTCGGGGGTTTTCAACGATCGCCTTCGCTTCTTGTATAAATTTTGTTGTAACTCCACGATGCCCCCTTCTTTTTGCCTTTAAACGATCAATATCTGTCTCACTCATAGTAACGTAACGAATACTTCAAAATTCAAACGACAATCAAATTCAAACGAAAACGATGTTTAAACGACGAAAATACGGCCCCACGCTGGGCGCCATGTTACGAATATGTAATTAATTTATTCTAAAACGCGCGAAAATTATACTGGAATAACAACACAAAATAATCGCGACAGAAATATCGCTTAAACTAATAATCTACGTTACAGTATTCCTCCTTTGATGGACTAATATTTTCAGAGACTTTGTACTCGATGTTACTAGTATACATGATACATAATACATGATACATGATACATGATACATGATAAAGGCAAACTATTTCTGATCGTCGATCCGACGGCACGGCACTTCGAATCGAAAATTGTCACACTCAAATCTCTTTATTCTCCAAAAAAATTCGCCAGCATGTACAACAGATGCCGTTCTTTGAAAATACGGAGATACTTCGGCGAGATATGATCGTTATATAAAAGGATAATTTGAAATATGATATATAGACATCATAAATTGTTTTAAATACATTTTTTATTATAACATACGTGATATATACACGACAATATGTTGTTTCCCATTGCACAATATGCAAATACCAAAAAGCGGGAAGTGGGCAGGCGGCGTCCCCCCTTCCCCTCCCCGTAAATCCCAATGGTTTTAGGAGGCCTGGTTACACAGGCGTTCGCCGTAGTAATTTTCGGTCCGGGCAAGTTCAATATAAAATTACCCTGGATTCCAGAGCCTTCAGTAAATAATAGATTGAAACGTCGTGAAGGCCCTGGTTCAACGGGAGGATTCGATCTTTGATTAAACCGCGCCAATCACAAAACAGAATTAGTGGTTTTAGTACAGATTCTGTACTAGTAACATCGAGTACAAAGTCTCGGAAAATATTAGTCCAACAAAGGATGAATACAAGGAGAACACACGCTATCAAATAGGCAAGTCAATTTCATTTTAAAATTTATATTTTATGACATATTTTTACTGTAATATACATTACTATAATATACATTTCTACTATAAGTCTATACTGACCCTTGCGAGATTGGGCCGCCTGTGTACAGAACGGCCACTCCTTGCAATCGAAGTGTGAAGTGCGGAAGTGGAAACATGTAATATGAGACTATTCCATCCCCCTCTTAGCCTATCAATTTTCTATGGGCAACGTGACCAGCCCCGACCAGGGTCTTTCCTCAATAAGAGGGAAGAGCCTGGGAACGAAGTTGGTGAAATGGCCTTGTTCACATGTCTAGCACAACGGTGCAAACCCGTGTTCAATGTAATATTCAATGTATTGAGAACTCTATCAGATCTTACGAGAATCTATCTGTATCACTGCTATAACTGTGAAACTATTGAAATCTAAAGTGCCATTATTGAATACATGCGAAAAGCTGAACTGAAATGACTGATCATACAACACAACTTCATCTTGTAAATATAAAGTCAAAGGTCATATAATGAGACTTGTTATTGTGAAACATGTCACAATTAGGTTAAATTGCGGATGTGGAACGGATCCACGGAGCGGATGCGGAACGCATTAAAAACAATAGATAATGAGATGAAATGCCTATGGTAACTGTTTATTTCGTAGTGTAATCCATCAGCTTTACAAAACAGAAAGTCGTCATGCCCAAATAAGAGCTCTTGCAATTCAACATTTAATAAACGAGTTACGAAGGTAGTGGTAAGGAATTGTTTATCTCGTAAAAACGTTGTTCTAATCCACATTTTTGAGTAACGTGCCTGCTCTAGCCTATGCCTGTTCTTACTGTTCTAGGTTGTCAGCAACCCTATATACAGTTCTTGCCGTGTCTTTTTCGAATTGAAACTTTACACTATCCTTGGAACCCTAGTTCTTTATTACGATCGACCAATCACACAGACGTATTATAAGCGTTTGCTTCTGATTAATAATTATATAACGTACCAACGCCAAACTTACGCCAGCTCTAAAAATCACTGTGGCATAACTTATAGCGGTGTAGGCAATGGAACATGCTGTGCTCAGGGGCGCAACTTGGCTGTACGTATTGGGGAGGAGGGCGTCGTCGACCAACGGGCGTCGTCACTGCAGTGGCGGCGTAACAGTTTTTATTTTGGGAGACTAATTTCCATAAATTGTCCAACATCTAAAATGTTTTGTGCACGTTTCGATTTCTTTAATCGCCCCTGCAATTTTCCTCAAAATCTAACCAATTTTTATATATAAACTTCGAAATTTGGCACCGTACCATTTTTTATCCCCCTCTGCCCCACCCCCTTTTCCAGTGGCGGAAATTCACTTTTTTCGGGGGGGGGGCAAAGCCTCCTAAAAACTCTCAAATTTCCGACATACCCCCCATTTGCACTCGTAAAGACTGTTTTTAGCCCTCTTTTAGGTCAAAATTTCCGAAAATTCGTCAAATTTCCGTGACGGTGCGGGGGCGGGGGGGCGGCTGCCCCCCGCCCCACCAAGATTTCCGCCACTGCCCTTTTCGTTCCGCTTACTTCAATTGCTGTGCTCGACATACAGCCCAATACTAAGCAAAATTTGACAGAGTATCACATCATGTTTAAACTTGGAGGGGGGGAGGGGGTATCACACACCCCACAACTCCAACAGTTTCGCTCCTGGTTGTGCTTGAATACCTTGAGAATAGATTATTGGGAACTATAAGATTTTGCAGAAATTTCATTTCGAGAGAACACGGTTTGTAAAGATTTCAAATAAAAGCGATAGTTGACAAATACTGGAAATCATAATTCATTAGTACAGTAACTATATTCCCCCACCTTCATGGTCATGCCACCGTTGCACCGAAATAAACATATCGTATGTATTAAAATAATTTTTTTCTATTAATTTAGCTCTTCTAGTGCTATAAGTGTATTCTTTCTGTACGAAAACCTTACTTGAAGAAAAAGTTCGCTGGTTCCAACTGCTTTAAGGTACGTAGTATTGGACAAAAATTTTAAAACTTTTTAATATCTGAATTTTTACACAAATTTTTTTGTTGTTGAAATGACGGCCGAATATCATATGTGACGTTGCGCGCCAACAAACAGGGTAACCAACAAACGTTTGCCAACAGGGGCGATTCATGATATTTAGTATACAAAAAATGAATGTTTATGAGTGTAATAATAAAAATATTTTCATGAGGTGCAAGCTGGAATTTTCCATTCAACGAAGGCGACAGCCCAGTGCGATGGAAAATTCCATCTTTCACCGAATGAAAATATTTTTACTATTTTGCTCGTAAAGATTCATAATTTGTTTTATATAGCACCAAAATAAATCGATGTTATATGTTTTTTGAAATTAAATAAAACGAAACATGTACATACCAGAGTTGCTTGTACAGTGTTTAAAATCAATAGAAATATCCAATGAATGAATGAATTAATGTAAAATGAAGAGTGAAGAAGGAAATATTTAATCAGGGATGTCTGATTCATCATAGCTGGCTTAAGCGAAGCCCTGGCTACAAATAAAATTACAGAATTACAAAAATTACCACAAATATCATAAATATTTACATACAATCTAATATTATCTAATGATAAAGTCTAATGAGTATTAAAGGAACTTTCCTTTAGGAACTTCTTAAGATCTATCTTAAATTTTGAAAACCTGGTTTCATTTCTAAAACTTGATGGTAGCAAATTCCATGTTTTTGCTCCATTGTATCGAAAAGAGCCTTGCTACTTTTGTGTTATTGCTAAAGGTAATCGGAGTAAATCCCTATTTCTAGTATTATAAGCATGGATTTCATTCATGCAATAAATACGCAGGTGCTAGACCATTCAGGCACATAAGAACTTGCACGCAAATTTGATATACCTTACGAGATTGTAAGGATGGCCAACTAAAAGTTAGGTTAATGTCGCACTGCCTGATTTTACTCCTCT